TGATATAAAGACTGATGTTTTGTTTTGGCCCCTGACATGGTAGGATTTGGATTGAGACACCCAAATCTACCTTAGCAGTTAATAGGAGTAAAATTTCTCTCCTTGAATTTTGTCATGAGCAATTAATTAGCTGTACTAAAATTAATTACAGAATTGCAGAATCATGTAGGTTGGAAAAGACCTCCAAGGTCATTGAGTCCAACTTTTGACCAGTCTCCACTCTGTCAACTAGACTATGACACTAAGTGCCATGTCCAGTTGTTTCTTGAACACCTCCTCCAGGGATGGTGACTCCACCACCTCCCTGGGCAGCCTGTTTTAATTACCTGAACCATCTGACAGATGGAATAAATGGTGCAAACTGTTTCTCTTCAGTTATGTGAAAAATAGAGTGACAAAGAAAGGAAGGCAGGCGAGCTTCAGGCTCAGATGTGCCCAGCTGGCAATCAGAGAGGAAGGGAAGGGGTTGTTCCCACTGGTTTGAGGGTACTGATGGCATTGCTCTGCCTGCTCCTGACCAATGGGTGTTCACACACACTGATGAGCATTCAGTACAGCTCCTGCAGGAGATGCTACTCTGTGACTCTTTATCCTCACATGCTTTTATGACTTGCAGACCAACAGTTTAGGATAGAGAGTTTTAAGTCTGTAATAGGATGTTTATGACCAAGGCAGGTGTAAATGTGTCAAAAAGTTAATAGAGGATGCTAATACAAAGGCAAGAATATCCCCACTTGTGTAGGTTGTTCTTAAGCTTTGGAATAAGACTGTGGTGAAGTTTCTGTTTGATGCGAGACAACTTCTCGTGTTTCAAAATCAGAGGCGAAAGATGCATGCAGCAGTGTCTGAGTATATGTTGACTTCTTCAGTTTTTCTGACTAGTGGACAATTTTGATTAATAGATCATTTTTTGCTTGACTGATAAATTATGACCACTGTCATATAATCCTAATGAAAAAAACCTTAACAGTTTTTTTAAGGCAGTTATTTTATAGATAGATGAGTGCTGGTAAGAAGATGATCTGCAAAGTAGCACCCAGGATCTATCAGGGAGAAAGGCCAAAAGGAAGGTTTTGAAATATGTAGGGGTTTTAAATCTTTTTCTTACTGTAGTTTTTTACTGCATTTTTGTGTCTTATGGGAGCATAATTTACATATTTGCTCACAAATGTTCTTACTAATCCCTGAATCAATGCTGGTGAGATGCATTTCTCATTGAAGCATTAATTTATTAGACCAAAAGCATTTTAAAAGGCAACTTTTAGAGGAAGCCTTAGTAAGAACATTGTGAAGAAGCAGATAACTTCTTGTCCTGACATTATCACATCATTCAAATTGCAGTTGTCAACCCTAATGAAAGGTGGTGATGCTGATTTGAGCATATTGCTTATGAGATGTACAAGAGCTTTGGGAGATAAGAAATCCCTGTTGCTATCATTTATAATTAAAGTGTCCATCACTTTTCTCTGAAAAACTGCTTGACAAATAAATAATTAAAGGTCTGATTCTGATATGCTTAGTTGAAATGAGACTTCTGAGAACAGTCCAAATGCAGTAAATGCAATCTCGTCAAAGTAAGGTTTCAAGATAAATAATAGCGTTACAATCTCAGTCAAAGGCAGTTCTTATTTGTTGAGCCAGGAGGGTATTCTGTGTGCTTTAAAATCTAATCTCACAGGCATCTGAAGCTTCCTGCTTACAAACAGTGCCTGATGTTGTTTATCATGTTATCTTTTAAGCACAGTAGAAAACGATATTTAAATTATTGGGTACTAACTGTTCCCTGCTTTTTCAGACAGCCAAAGATAAGTTGTTTATCTGATGGTTTGTACAGTATGAAGCTTTATAAAGCCTTATGTTAACTAATGAGTTTATTTTATTGCAAATATGTCTATTTCATGGAGCATTTTTCTTTGATTGTTTCACCGAATTGATATTTAAAAGAACAGTTATGCAAAAAACGATGTTTCTTGTCATAGTTTCTAAAATAAAAGCTTGGAGGGAATTTTTTTTTCAAATACAAATGATTTCACCTGCTTCCATTGTGTTCCAGTAATAAGCTTACTCCCAGAATAGTTGAAATAACTTGCATACTGTAGTATATGCATACTTCACATATGCAAGTATCTCACAGTGTTGGCAGGGAGAATTTTAGTTGATTTGGTACCTTAAAATTAACCTTTTACTACCGCATGCGTATGTTTGTCATTTATCCCCTTTTTCTCAGGTGCAAAGAGGGCTACCAGGGAGTCCGCTGTGACCAATTTTTGCCGAAAACCGACTCAATCTTGTCAGATCCAAGTACGTCAAATGTTTCTCTTATATTTTTAATCCACGCTAGAGGCTATTCTTGCCATGTGAGATGACCCTTTGCCTGTTGTCAGAAAGTCCATACTATGGACCATTGCAGCTGTTGGTGTTGCTCTTGGTGATAGGACAAAACCACACCATTCAGCCTCTGTTCCTATAAAATATACGCTGCTCCAGCAGGGCAGCCCGTCAGGGGACTCGATTCCTTACGCTTTGGAATAATACTGTCCCTGCTTATAGCAAAAACATTCATGTTTCTCTACTTTTGACTCAAGAATAAATAAAATGACATAATATAAAAAAGAAAACAAATATAGACTGCAAAGTGGTTCCTTCAAAAGAAAATAAATTCATATTGTCTGGCGCTGCAGAGATTATAATCTCCATGGAAATACTTTATATCAGTGTGCACAATACTCAATTATGTTTCACTTTGACAAGTAAATTTGCTGTGAGTTTGCAGAGTAAAGGTGTACTTTCAGGTAATAATGTGGAGACCAAGTATATTTCTATTATACTGATCAATATATGTCAGAGTAAAAACTGCATGTCTCTGACTCCACTGTTGCCCTTTCTAAATAGTGTTGACTAATAAAACTATGTCAAAAATATTATTCAAGATGATTCTTTTGGAAGTGAATCCATTTACTAAGTAAGTGTTTATCTTAAATTTTTTAAATGAAGTGACATACAACAAAGGGTCATATCCAATCTCTCGGTTTTGTTCTTATATCTGGAAACCGTAATGTATTAAGTCGTCTGGTTTTGAGTGCTCTTTAGAATTTGATTTGTTTTGTTTGTGTTTTTTGGAGAATAATGCTTGTTTTTCTAGTCTTTTTTGTGCTTTCTGTTTATTTCCTTGTGCTTTTCCATGTGAAAACCTGTTGCCAAAGGCACCTGTTGTTTTGTAGTTCTCTATGTTGTATAGCTCCCATTGTAGTTTACTTTGTGTTTGGTTTAGCTTTTCCTTTTGCTTGACCTTTAATGATAAAGAGCAGAGCTTAAAGTGAATAGGCAGATTTTACCTCTGCCAGGTTTTATGTGCACATGTCAATATGTGTCAAAGAAAAAGTAGTTTGTATACATGTATATGTCAAGGAAAAAGGTAGTTTGTATCCTAAAAGTGGGGGCAAGGGCAATCAATTAACAATAGGACGGGGTGGTACCTGTCTGACATGGTTTTCACGAGGAGCTCTACCTTTAGTCTCTCAAAGTAGAGGTGAAATCCATATACATACTATACAAAGCCCAGAAAAGGCTCCCAGATTAAGCTGCATCTAACAAGACCAAAAGCCCCGTAGTGTTTATCTACTGCAGACAGTGTTGTTGTTTCTTTGCAGCATTGTGTTGGTTGCACAGACTTGCTTCTCTTTACTTAGGAAATGGTTGCTTTCACTGGTGGGGTTCTGACTGCAGTGTTTCCATAGCGTTTTTCAGCCACCTGATCCTGCTAAGCTTTAGTTCTGCTGAAACATCCTTTTTGCACTTTCTGACAACAAAAGCTTTTTTTTTTTTTTTTTTCATTTTATTGAGGTTTTCTTTCAAAATTGTGTAAGAACAGGAGACTTTGCCTTGATGTTGCAGTAGATCCACTGGCCACACCCATGGCCCAAAAGAAGCCCCTCTTTCAATATAAATGAAGAAGGTTAACATGAGTTAGGTACTTTTCCAGTCAGTTTTGAAATTTAACTTATATTTAAAAGAGGAAGAGCTTCTGTTCAGGTGCATTTCTGTGTGTTGGCATAATGTGATATATCTCTGTGTATGTGTGTGCATATGCGCGTGTTCTAAGCATGCTGAGCCTGAAAGGGAGGTAATTGACCTTTCTGCTGCAATTGGACAGTGATAACATTTTGTTCAAGAGTTAAATGTGTTTATCTTCCTTCTGGAGAGGAAAAAAAATTAATACCATGCTGATGATTAGCACTCAGTGGCAGAGGTGTTTGCTATTTGCATAACCTGAGGAGTGTAAAAAGTATTTGACACAGTAGCCAAGCACAGTATGATCATCTCCAAAGGCTCTGGGGTTGCTTTGCAAAAACTTAGTTCTGTGGTTGAACATGTATTTGGATTAGGAAGAGAACTGCTGAAGGGTGAATTCAGAGATGGCTTCAGAGAGAAGCAATTTTTTAAATGCAAGGCTTAATTTCTAAAAGCTGAGCACTGAGATGGGGGCTCTTGTGTCTGGATTGCACGTAGCCACTGACACCACTGACTGGTGTCAGTCAAGCTTTATGAACAAGTCCAGCCCATCTGAGTTTTATGGGATTGCTTAGGGTGTTCCTGGTGGTTAATGTGCTGCTAATGATGCATCTGCTAACACTTAGCTTATTTGAAGTTTACATGCATGAAATAATGAAGCAATGTTTCTATCTTACCTTGCCTGTGATAGCACAGGTTGCGTTTTCACAACATACCCTTGTCATTAAATGGGAAGTGAATCTGGACCACAGTCACTTGGAAAATAGTAACAATATTGTTATAAAATAGTTAAATATTTACATGTGCCACTGTTTTGATTTTTCATTGGTTTTTGTTTTATTTTTTTAATTAACCTGCTAAAACAAACCAAGGTTTTTCAGCATAGCTATTATCTGCATATTATTTGCATAGCAACATCAGTGTTTTTAACACCAGCTTCTTACCTAATTTTCGATGTATATTAGGTAGGTCTTGACTTTACATCACAGATATGAATACAAATTATGTAATACTTTATATGGATTAATATATGCTAGATCATGTACATTTAGTTTAATTAAATGAACTGGTTAAGGTGTTTAGGATTCTATTTTCAGGAAACCTCTTGAAACTACCTGATGGTGTTTCAGAGTTCCTGAATTGGCATCCATGGCTTCTTACAGTCAGATCTGCCACCTACTAGGTTCCCTGAGCTCAGAGTTAGGATTGAAGTCCTAAGAAAAACAAATGTACAGCACACATAAAACAACATCAAAACACTCCAAGCACAGACCCTTCAACTGGACTTTTAAGCATCACTTCCGTTAATATCTCCACTCTTAGCAAGGTTTTCTGGCTATAAGAGAAAGACGTTAAGAACAAAAAAATCCAAACATAAGTAGTTTGAGAAGTTTGTTAATCTTGGAATATGGGAGAAGCCTGCCTAAACCATGGGAGCCACAAACACATGGGAATCTAATGAAATTAATGAGGGAAAAAATGCTGCATGGCAATGCAACCCATGCTCACAGTCACTATCAAGAGGAGGGAATCTGTCGGCTGTGAACTCTCTCTGTCATCTTCTCTGTCATCTATGGATGATATAATATATCATGATATAATAATGGGACAAAAAGAACAGAAAAAGCAGTCACATGCTGGAAGGAAAGGACGGGAATATATTTGGAATGTTGCTTCAGCTTTCTTCATTTGTGCTAACTTCTCTATAAATACTGTTAATGGCAGTGGTAGAACACTTACATTTTCAAGATTATAAGTACAGCTTTAGCATAATTTTAGGTAAAAGTAGTTTTACAGGCATGTGTATCTGTAGGGTTGGGAGCTTATATACAACATAAATTGTACAAATGTGCTCATGTACTATCCTTTGTAGTGTTCTGGATTAGACCTACCTGGCCCAACGAGTCTTGAAAGGTAAGTTGTATGTAGGCTGCAGATACTTCTTTCAATTGGTTTTTGTGCTGAGGCAAAGTGTAACCTTTTAAGCTTTGACTGTTTTGTGCTAATATTCCAAAGTGGTTAACAGGGCATTGAAAATGGGTTTGTCACGTTACCTCATTTTACCAAAGAGCTGAACTCTGCCTTCAAGTGCTTTGTCCTAACGCAGCAGTGACAGATACTTTCCTATGCAAAATGTGTATTTCAGCTTTATAATATCCAGTATTGATTTTATATTTGCCATATCAACATTCAAGTTGTCCCATTTGACTCAGAAGCGTAAGTAAAGAGGGATGCCCTATCAAATACTGGGAATATATTATTATTCTTCAGTCTTGTCTTAAAATAAATGCATTATTTTCTGGAAGAAGGAAAGTAGGATGGAAACCTTATAGGTCACTAGGCCATGCTCCTGCTGTTGCAGTCAACCCCATCACGTAATTCCTTCCATAAGCTGATCATACTTCATTTGTAAGCCACTTGTAATCAAGGTGAACTAGCCACTCGAAACAGGGTTTGTTTATCGTCCCTGCTCTGAGGATTTCAAGACTTTTTAGCTTCCACACAAATCTTATGCCCAAATTTATCAGTTATGTTCTTTGTTAAAATGCTTTGTTTCTACATTGATTTTTTTTTTTCCTCTCAGTTTGCACAATGTTGTGCTCTGGGTCTGTTAAAATGGCTTTTTCAAATGTCAGAAGTCTTGTTCCTATGGAGTTATGTATAGCCTGTGGTCTTATAATCCTTTAACCTGTGACAGCACAGCACACATCATGTTTCTCTTTGAAACTCATCAAAGAGAAACCTGCAAGTGTCATGTCTGGAATCTGTGGTTACTCATTCCTAGATTACCTTTTCCTGTAGCAAAGGATCAAAGCCCCTCTCCTGGAAGATTGGGACTGTAAATAAGTAAAAACACTCCAGATAGTTTGCAAAAAAAAAAAAGAAAATTCAAAAAAGATATTTGAAGCCCTAAGACTCCTATTCACTTCCTCAAAAAAAGCTCCCCCTCAAAAAAACTAAAAAAAAAAAAAATCTTAGCCAATTTGCCTTTTTTTATTATTTTTATTTTATTTTTTATTCCCCCCATCCAGTTTTATATAGGTAAGATCATCGGATAGTTTAAGTTGAAAGATAAGTGTAGAGTTCTCAGGACAACTCGGATGGTTCAGCTTCCTGCTTTAAGCAGAGCTGGATTTGGAGTCTGTGCTAACTGCACTGGACACTGCAAAGGGACTCTTACTAAATAGAGGATAAAGAGCATCACAATCGTGAAATACCTGTGGAATTTGTTTTCAAATAATTGGAATACATAAAATGAAACTCCTGTGTCCCTCACTGAATTACTGATT